TGCCTTCTTCAGAGATGGGGGAGCCCATGAGGACTCAGAGCTTGTTCTGGAAAGGGTCTTTGTGCTGTGAACGCTTCCAGCTTCCACGCTGTGTTCAACAAGCGACCTCCTGGGATTTGCCCAGTCTGGTCTCGAACACCTGAGAATTATTTGGGGCAACTTCTCTGGCTCTTTGGGCTGTGTTTGCCTTCCTCGGCCAAAATCAGTGTCCCCACTGAGGGCAGGGATGCTGGGTATTGCTGAGCTCTGCATCAGGTGGCTGAGAGGTCATGTTATCCTCGAGAGAGACCTCCTGGAATCGCTTAACGAGTGGATGTGGTTTATGTGCCCTGATGGAAAAATCGCTTTATATAACCTCCCGTGCAAAAGGGAAGGGAATAAAACATTCTGAGCCAGTAAACTTTACTGCCAGCAAGATGTGGGGCCTGTTACAGCCTATTCTCCTCTTCTTTAAATGTAAATTTTTCTGGATGCCCTAAAGAGCCAATTTGCACTTTACTGCAGTGCAGTGCTTTTCTCCTTAGGCTCTGCATCAGCCTCAAGGAGATTTAAGGGGGCACCAGCTGGATTTTTAGGCTGCTAATTTCATCAGTGTGAACCTTGTTATAATCTGCTGGTGAACATCTTTTGGGTCCAGATATCTCTTCCTTCCATATCCTTCCATTTGCAGAACGATTAAAGCTGTGTTTTGTAGGGCTGTCCCAAGCTGCACCCAGGTATTTGGTCCTAATATTCACCTGCACCCCACTATAAAAGCCTCTGGTCCTGGCTTATGGGACTCCAGGGGCATCTTCTTTTGGCTTTATTGAAGCCAAAAGAAATGGCTGTGCTTGGTGGTGGTAAGGCTCTTTGGTGGATCAGTGCTGATTTATGCTCTCTTATGCTGAGGAGAAACACAGTGAATCAGGAGAGGGTGAATTTGGGCTCGTGAGAGGCAGTTTGCAGGTGGATGTCATGCTGTTGGTGGGATGAGAGAAGAGCTGGGGATGCCTCGTTCTCCCTGCCCGTGTTCCCAGTGATGCTGCACCAGGAAGAGCAGGATGGACCTGACTGTTCCTGCAATATCTTGCCTTGCGATGAGCTGAGACCGGGCCCTTGGCAGGTCATTTCATGGCTCTGTGATTAATGTTCCCTGTCTACAACGGGAGTAATAACACAGGCTTTATCTGTCGGGACTGTGTGCTCCCGGGGCAGGGATGGCCCTGCTGGCTGTGGGTCTGGACAGGGTCCAGGAGGATGAGCCATGGTGTGACTGAGGTCCTTTGCAATGGATGTCACTGCTAATTAGAGTGGGGAGATTAGCTGCTGTCTTATTCAGAAGCACAGGAAGGAAAGCCAAAATCGTGTTTCCCAAATGGAGAAAGGACAATGCCAGGGTATGAGCAAGTTCTTTTGAAGCTTTGAACATGAATCACAGTGTCAAGTAAAAAATAATTAAACTTATTTTTTTTTTAAATGTACTTCAAAGTGTCTTTTAAGCTTCCCATTAATTCGAAGTTCTTTCTCTCAGCACTAAATAAATCTCCTGGTTCAAAAGCACAAGTGCTAATTGGTTTCTCTGAGTATGGCTGTCTGCTTGATCAATAGGGGAAGTAGTTTTTGTTAAATATTTGCACATATAGTCACATATTGTATTGCTCAGGGACATGGTAAATGTTTCTCAAAAGGAGACTTGTAGAATGAGGATTCCAGTAATTTTCTTGTGGCCTTTATGTCGGAGCTAATAACACTTCCTCCCTCCATGCTTCTGCAGAAAGCAAAGCAATTTTCCTTCACGTGCTCCCAGCCAAGTGGCCAGTTCAGCTGCCTTGTAACACCCCTGTCTAACTGCCACGTCAGGCTGCTGTGAGCAGAGTTGTACAGTTCCTGCCTTGAGCAGAGAGTGGCTGGGAGCGACCTCCGCATCAGGAGGTACCTGGAATGTAGTGTGGGATGAACTGGGTTTGGATGTGCAGCAGTTGGAGAGGGATGGGGCTTGCAGACTCCTGACTGAATGTGCACGGCTTTGGCAATTTCCTCTCTGTCTGTCTCAATGAATTGCACTTTTACTGTTTCCATGTGCCTTCAGAGTGTTGTTTACTTCCAACGTTGCAGCATCATTTCTGTGCCTCGCTGGTAACCACCATCAGTTATTGATGCTAATGGAGCTGTGTCCTTCTCTTCCCCCATTACCTCCTTGCTCTGTATGTGCCTCTGGTCTGTCTCAGCTGACCTCTACAGCAAACACCAGTAATCTTCTTGTCCCAGCATGGAGACTGTCTGGGACTGTCCCTGTGTGTCTCATCTTGAGCATCCTGGGAAGGCAGAGCTCTGCCAGTCTTGGAAAGCCAAATCCCAGCATCCCTGGGTTTGCGTGGAAAGAATGATAGAGCTTGGCTTCTCCCATAACCCCAGATGGGGTGGGCTTGCTCTTCCCTACGCATCCAGTTAGTTGCTCACCTGGCCCTGAAGCCCTGGAGGCAGTTGGGTTTCTTCAAGGTCAGAAGGTAAGGAAAGCATCCATTGAGGAGGAATTTGGGTGCCTTTGTACGCTGCACAGTTACAAACCAGTTGCACAGTGTCACACCTTGAGGAGGCCCCAGAACCAGTCAGTGTCCATCCCCACCCTGGTGTGTGTCTGAGGGCACCAGCCCTCATGATGAGAGTCTCAAGCAGCCAGGAGTGAGGATGCAGACTGAATGTTTATGGAGGTAAACATGATTATCTCCAATCACAGGCCTTAATGATGGTTATTATAATGACAGCTATTGTGGGAAGGGCATGTAATTATGTTGATTCTTCCTTTTATTATACATATAATAATAAGCTGTTTTATCTAAGAGGACAGGGGAGCTGCGGGAAGATGGGGCATTTATTTCATTAGGGATTTTTTTCTGATTGCCTGTTAGGCTTAATCCTGAAATCTTGTTCAGTCTTTCTGGAGTCAGAAGTCCCCCTTGTTTCAGTGTCAGCACAGGAGGGTCCTGATCCTACCTAATTCCCAGGAGTGCCCATGCAGGGCCCCAGCGTGGTAGATGCTGTTGAGGCTCTGTCCACTTTGCAGAAAAATGCAGAGCATTCATCTAATTCCTTAATTTTCACCAAAAAAAGGTAATTGACGGGTTGGTGCTGGTTGCAGTCTAACTTGCTGAGAGGACCCCAGGGCTATCTCATAAAAAAGAAGTCACAGTGAGCGATATATCACTGAGATGGCTGGAGCTAGCCTGACATTTTAAGACTTAATGGGTTAATAAAGTGTGTGGTTTAGGTGTCTGTCACTAAGTAGAGTTTGTCATTCCCTGCACACACTCATACCTTGACACAGTACCTTTGACCTGCCATGCACTACCGCTGCCTCCTTTGTCTGCTCCGTCCATCTGCCTCGGCTCAGGTTGCACTCAATGTTTATCCCCCGTAATCCAATTTAAGTTGCCGTAGAAAGCAATGGGGATTTACAGGAAGAAAGAAGAAAATCTCACTGGGTTTGTGGAGCAGAAAAGACGGACTTTCTTTTTCTTCTTTTTCTTTAGGGTAACTGCCTCTTCTCATCTCTTTCATTTTTACCATGCATTAGCGGTCTGCCCTCCTGGTTTTTGAGCCAAAAGCAGTGTGATCCTGCCCTTCGTGGGGTCTGTGTAAGGGACAGGCATTACAAAGGCTGTGCTGTGGCTGGTGTTGGCCAAGAGTAGTTGCCTATGTGCATCCCAGTTCTGTGAGCAGCTGTAGAGTTGGTCCCCCTGGGCCCATGAAAGAGGGGAGAAGCTGTATCACAAGTTTGAGCAGCTGGAAACCTCCACCCTTTGCGGGGCTGTTGCACAAGAGAACTGTTAGAAAGGTTCTACACGTATTTGGATGGAATTGTAGTTTTCTAACTCTACTGGAATTCCTTCTTCATTGCTGCTCTTATAAAAAATAGATATACTCCGCCAGTCATGCATTTCCACCCTTCAGCTATTTATATGACTCCTGTTTCCTGGTCACTCTTTGTCTTTCATGTCAGTGTGTATTTTGGGCTAATCTTTACACAATAGCTCTATTTCTGTCATCATCTGTAGCATCTGATCATGGCTGTATGGCAAATTATACCCTAAAAAGGTATGCTGGACCTAGTGAGGCGTGACCTGCCAAAGACACCGTGCTTAAATCTTCTGTTGGCAAAAGAAGTAAATTAGGATGTATCTGCATGATGGGGAGAAACTGTTTGCCTATTGTTGGGTCAAATTCTGCAGTAACTTCTCTCTCATGGACATCATTTAGTGTAATTGCTTTGCAAGAAACCTTTTGTGTTGCTGAGCCATAACATTGTGATTTTGTATTTCGGTGCTTAACTTGCTCTTCATTAAGGACTGAATAGCACCATCGTTTGCCTGTTACAGCGTGAGAGAGACCAAAGTGACAGAAGGGCACGTTGTTATGTGAGAGAGGCAACAGCCTCCTGCTCTGCCAAGTGGGAGAAGCATTGCGGAGATGCTGGTGGCAATATGGTCTGAATCAGGAGCTGCTGATCCTCCTTTTCCCCGCGCCGGCTGTGCTGTGAGCGGGTCTGGGGCATGGCACAGCCCCTTCTCTGCTGGTTACATGGGGAGAGGGCTGGATTTCTGGTGTCAACTTCTGCTCCTGGGATGGCAGTGGTTGATGTCCCATGCTTGTGCAAGTTTGGATTGCCTGTTGCTGCACCCCTGCAAAGGGAGGTGAAGAGGCAATGTGCAGGGGAGTATTAAGTGGAGCTGGGGTTTGACAAGCTGCCAGAGGGGTGTGCATGCCCATCCCCTTCCCCAAAGGCAGCCTCCAAAGGCAGTGAGTGCCCACCATAGTGCCTTTGGAAATTGAACCCTGAGGTTTTGAGAGCAAAGCCTTGGGAGGCAAAACATGCTCCAGGGTTTTGTTTTTCTCTGAAACATGTGCACCCTCTAGCCCTATGTTGAAATGTTTTCATCATCTCCTGTTTGCTGCTGTAGCATTTGGCTCTTTCTGCTCCTTGTGGACACGCTGCTGACTCTGTCCTTCTCTTTTCATTTTAGATCTTGGCCATTCCTCCGAGCTGGCGTTCGTTGTGGAGCCAAGCGATGACATAGCTGTACAGGAGCAACCCTTGATCCTCTACTGCCAGGTGGAGGGCATCCAGCCCATCACCATCACGTGGCGGAAGAATGGCGCACTGATCGTGGACAGTGAGAATGCCTTCATGTTGGCCAACGGGTCACTCTACGTCTCCCGCTTCCAGAGGCTCCGGGGAGATGGGTCCTCGGATGAAGGCGAGTACGACTGCATGGCACAAAACCACTACGGGCTGGTGGTGAGCAGGAAGGCCAAGATTCAGGCAGCGAGTAAGTATGGGCATTGTCCCGCCTGTACCTCATGGGGCAATCCGGTAAGGGGCTTGGGAAGCTGCTGCTCTCAGTGTGGTGAGTGCTGGGTGTTCAAGGGGCGGGATTAAAGAAAGGGAAGAGAGAAAATAACCTGGAGCTGGTGTGGGGCATCTCATCTGTATAGTTGTCCAGGTATGAAATAAGAGCTAATCGGCCTTCTCAGGGAGAAACTAAAAGCCATCTTCCAGCAGTAAATTCCCTGTCTCAGAGGGGTATGTGGTGAAGTGCTCTGTGGTTGTGTCTCTCCTGCCGTGGGTTTGGAAGTCCCTTTGCTGTGCAGCACGGCTGAGCTCTGCGTGGCAGGCAGTGCTTTCCAAACCATAGGCAAAGACCTTCTAAAGGTCATGGTTTCTTTCACTTTGTTATTTAAGGCAGGCAATGTGGAGGCAGCAAGGTCTTATTTACTACCCAGCGTGGCAGTGCCTTTGGGGGCAAGGCTAACAACACCAGACGGATTGTCTGGTGGGGGAACCCGGAGGAGGAGAGAGATGAAAATGTCAGCAAGGGAATGAAATTTACAGGTGGGGAAGAATTACAGGGCAGGCTGTGCCTCCAGCCCTGCACAGTAACCAGCTTAAGCCCATTGCATCACTGTGGTCAGTGCTGGTCCTGTTTGGGTCTCCTGTTGGATTCCCCTGGCCAGCTCTGGTTGCTGCTTTGTATTTGTCTCTGGACTGATGGCAGAGCGGAGATGTCCTGGTGGTTTCTATCCCTGGTGTGTTGGTGGCCAGCTTTACCCACAGACTGTGGGCTCTGGGGGTGCAGCCACTAATCGCTTTTGCATTCAGTCAAGTCTCTGCTGGGTGTTATTCATATCAGGGTGTGAGGACAGGTGTCTGGTGCAGCCCCAAGACCTGCCTGAATGCTGGTTTGTTAAGTAAGTTCTACTGAAGGGTTCTCCGTCTTGTCTGGGAGATGGTTACCATTCTTCTTTCTGTCCAAGCCACTTACTGCAGCTTCTGTTGCATTTGCAAATCACACTGTGGAAGAGTCTACGGCAAAGTCTGGAGCTGAGGTCCCCGGGCTGCTGCACTCCCCAGACTGGGGGGGGCCTTTGGGAGCAGTGCTGCCCGCTCCCTGCAGTGCCGGGGCCGGCTGGCAGAACACCAAGGGAACACTCCAGCCCTTGTGTATAACAATCCCCGAGTGCATGAAGTGGCCATCTGCAAACCTAGCTTTTCAGCACTGTAAGAAGTGACATTGTCCAGGAGCCAAGGGCTTTGGGTCCATGCCAGATTAGCAGCTGGATCTCAGACTTGTCAGTCTTGTGGTGCTGAACCTTGGAGCACTTCTGTTGAATGCCTCTGGCATTTATGAGCTGGGAGCTGGGTGGTGCACAAGCACAATGCCAAACTTCTCAGACCTGTAAACGGGAGACATGAGAGCTGGAGGAATTACCTTTGGGATAGAGGATTGTCAATAAACACTGTTATCTCTCTCCTGCATCAATATGTATGTGATGTGCTGTGTGTCCCTGAATAGCATTTCCTTTTGTAGCCATCGTTTCGCATGAATCAAAATGAAAAAGATTGTGTTGAAAACGCTCTGGACTCTATTCTGGCTGCAGGCTTGGTTTCTTGCCAGCCCTGAGAAGAGGTCTGGGTGCAGCCAGCACAAAACAGCAGGCACCTGGCCCCGATGCCACAGGTGCCTGAGGATAATGGGAATAAAATGGGGTGGTTTATTGGCTTTAAGCTGACAGAAGATTTAGATTAGATATTAGGAAAAAATTCTTCCCTGTGAGGGTGCTGAGGTGCTGGCACAGGGTGCCCAGGGAAGCTGTGGCTGCCCCATCCTGGCAGTGTTCAAGGCCAGGTTGGACACAGGGGCTTGGAGCAACCTGCTCTAGTGGAAGGTGTCCCTGCCCGTGGCAGGGGGTTGGAACTGGATGAGCTTTAAGGTGACTTCTGACCCAAACCATTCTGTGATTGTATGATTCTTTGTTGTGGACAAATGTAACCTGCTGCTCAGGGCAAGCTCTCTGCTGTGCCTGAACCTCAGGAGCACACATTTGCCCTTTAGGACTTGGCTTAAATGTAGATGAAATCTCTTAAGAATGAATCACAGTTGTACCTTCGAGTCCCCGTGTCGCAGGGTGGTTACACACAAGTAGTAGTGATTTCCCTTGCCCTAAGTCCTAGTAAGCAAGTCAAACAAAGGAGGAAGGTAATTATCCCATTTTCGAGATGATGGGACCATTGCATAGAAGAAATGGGTGCTGGCTGCCTGGAAGGAGAAATAAAACAAGTGCCAAGCAGACCTTTTCAGAGCAGAGTAAATAGTGCCGGTGGGTAAAACCTCATCCCAGTGCTGATCTTCCCTCTGAGCCTGACATCTGAACACAAAAGCAGAGGAGAAATAAAAACCTTTCACAAACAAAAATCTTGAAAGTTGATCAAGGCCTTGCTACTGAGGAATAAAAGAGATCTGACAGAGCAGAGCCCCTTGAGAGCTCTGCTGCACTTTTCGCTGTCTTCAAAGGCAGGCTGTTAGTCTCGTATCACCGTTACAGACCCTGGCTTTGTGTTATTGCTTGGAATATAATCTCCTTGGCTCGAAGGAATGTACATATTTGCATTCAGGAAATGTGGGCTGGATATCATATTTTTATGTTTCAAATTTACTTCGACACTTGGCATTGAGGAAAATTTAACTGGAAGAATATGCTGCTCTCAGCCACTGCTGTGCCTGCGGCCCCCATGGGCTCGAGGTGCATGTAGTTTCCCTATCTTAAAACCTGCCTCTAAACTGAATGGATTTAACTAGAATTCAGGGGAGTTTCTGTATGGCATTATCCTTAACTAAAGATGCTCAGTGGAGGGCAGTGGGGCTGAGTTCGTGGATGGTTTGTGGTTTGGTGGCTCAGGTGCTAAAGAGATAATGTTTTTGTTGTGTAACCTTCTCTTGCACAAGTACAAGCGTGCAAGAAGCCTACACATGACTGGCTTGAGCAGAGGCATTTCCCCCCCTGTGCCTGACACACTGGTTGGAATTCTTTTCAGTTGCTGTTTCTGTGACTGTTCAAACCCTGGTGTGTTAGTTTAAAAGGTTGTGGAATGCAACATGTTTTTATAATCTGATCAAGGTTATTGAATACAGATCTTTTCTTCCTCCTAATGACAGTTCATAATTTCTCGTGACTCCAAGCTGTCTTAATTAAAATCAGTTTGTAGCGGAGCGTTCTCTGGAGGCATTGCTTGGCTGTGTCTTCACGGCTCTCTTTGAGGAGCTGTATTTCCCTTTGCGTGCCAGAAACTGATGGATGAAGATACTCTCTGAGCAATAGTAACAGCTGGAGTCCACTCCTTTGGAAGCTGAGCTCCCCAAAACACAGCCACCTTTCTTCTGATCACCACCCTTTGCTAAACTTGGTCTTCCTTGACTCCGATCATGTTGCCTCATGGCATTTCCAGCCCTTTTTTGCCGATGCTGTAATTTGATGGAGCTGGCTCCACATCATCATAAATCACAGCCCAGGCAGTGGAGTAAGACCCATTGATTATATCACTCAATAACAAGCAGTTACCACTAATTGGAAATCACCATCAAACTGCATATTGGATCAGGCTCCACACGCATCCAGCCTGAGAGTAGCAATTTTCCCTGTTTGAGCTGGTGCTGTGAGGGGAAAAAAAAAAGAGGGAAAATAAGTCAATTGTGCAATTTAGAGCCAAAGAGGTTTCTTGAAGTTGGGTGAAATGGACCTGCCCAATATTTGAAGTACTGTGGGACTTGAGAATAACTCTGGAGAGATCTTAAGGCTCTTTGCTCATTGTGTCTTGCTGTGGAAGTACAGTTTTGTAGCCAAGCATAGCAGTGCACATCCCTGTGCCCTTCTCTGCTCCCTTACCCCTTCCCTTCTGCATCCTGCCCCAAATCCTGCTTCTCCATCCCACTGTGCCTGGCTGTCCATGGCATGCACCCTGCCAGCAGGAAGGCAGGATTGATAACCCAGGCAAGGCAATGTCGTGACTCTTCCCTGCACTGATCCCTGCAGACAGCAGCAGCGGCTCCTCTCGCCCATCCTGGGACCAAGCATGACCAAACACACTGACCACTGCGACCTCCAGGCCAAGGGTCTTAAGGTCATCTCCAAAACATCAAAAGGGGGAAGTCTGGTGCATCTGCATGCTCACAAGTTGATTTTCCTGCCAAGCTGTGTGCTAGGGGAGGAGGTTGGGAATTGCGGGGTTTTTAAAGCAGCAAAGATCTTCCCATCGTTCCAGCTCCTCTGCACAAAATATATTCAGGGTTTAACCTGCAGCCCCCTTTCCAGGCTCTGGGGTGGTGGGAAGAGCTGCTGAGCCCAAATAATGGCAGCATTTATAAGAGTATAGAGACAAGAAGGAAGTCTAAAAGGATTAGGGAGAGACAAAGGGGGCTGATTATTTTATGGGTCACAATACAAGGCATTTGAGTGAGATCACAAAGGGATGTAATTACAAAAGAAGGCCATACTGAGGGGATCAAACTAGGATTAGAGTGGGAAATGTTTTTACACAGTTTTGTTCCACTCATTATGAAGTTAGCATTTTAAATTAAGGTTTAAATAAGGTGGCACCAAAGTTGTCACCAAGGTATTTCCTGGGCAATGCCACTGTTTGGATGCAGATTGCGAGTCTCGGCTCAAAACATCAAGGCAGACCTTAAACACGTGGCTTTTGCTGTTGGGTTTTCTTGTGCATGTACAATATCCGTTGCTGGAAGGGGGATATTTCTGTGATGACATGTTTTTAGCTGTGTGAAACACGTGTTGAGGTAAAGGTATGCTTTTAAAGCAAGTGCGCTGGTGTTGGTTTGCAGCTCTGGAGACGTGGTCCTGTTACTCCCAGCAAATTTTGGCTGTTGCTTGCATTTTATTGCAGTTTAACCCCTAGTGCTGCATGCCAACTTTCCTCCATCCGCAAATGAGTGTTCCTTTACACCAATTGTGGCTCTGCTTGCATTTAATGCCCTTT